AGAGTTCAAGATGTTGAATGTCTTATTGTTTATTTAATTTTGTATAAAGTTCTTTCTTTGAATAATCTCTTTTTGTATATAATTTTATTTCTTGATTAACCTTCACTTGTTTTCTTAGTTAATAGGTTTGCCTGGCAGAGACTTGCAAGGTTTGATGGGGAGTATGTGCTTGAAAAGAATAAAACCTTTTGAAGAAGCAAAATGTTTGTTTTTATCACAAAAGTCTTTTCACAGATCCTCTGTGATAACTCTCAGAGGTTCTTTGAACGGATCCTCTATCGATACTTCTTCTTAGGATTTTTAAATGTTTTTATTTTGAGGGGGAGCCATGGAAGCTGGCTCATAGGGGGAGTTTTTGTTTTGAAAACCAAAACCTCAGAAGGTGCCAAAACTTTTGAAGTATCTTGATCTCAGAGGTCAACTCATCAGAACCTCTGGTGCTTCTAACAGAGGCTCTATGGGTCTGAACTGAGCAAGTACTCATCTCTCTGAGGATTTTCAAACTGTTTAGGTAAATAAAGGTGTAACATGTTAGAAGGCCCCGCACATATCACAGAGGCTATGTTACCCTTAGGCCTCTGACATAACTCTCTTCTATAGTTCTCTATTATTGATATGGTACGCGTGGTTATGTTGATAAGGGTTAAAGCATATCACGCGCGTGTCAGAAACGGGTGCGCACGTCATCAATCGTGCGTCTTCCCAACACCGCGTGTCATATTTTTGATGCGTCCCTACCAAAAGCCACTCATCACGATTTTTCACCTAATAAACGGTTCGCTTTCAAATTCCTCACTATAAATACTCTTCTCCCCAACATAAACCCCTTCACTTCTCTAAAATCTCCAACCTGCAAAATTTCAAGCTTTCCAAAACCTGCAACAATGTCTTCAAGTTCATCCGCCTCCGCTCAATCTCAACACCACCCTAGCGACAACGAAGTAAATCAATCATAGGCACTCACTTCTCATGCCCTATCGTTCTTCCAAAATCGATATGACAGAGTGGTATTTGTAAAGAAACCCCAGAACTACTTTTTCGCTCCCTCACCAACTGGCTTCCCTGAATTCACATATCCTCTTATTGAAATCCTTCGCAACCATCCTTTATTTTACGCTCTCACAGCAACTAAACCTACCCCAGAAACCTATATTACCCAATTTTTGCTAAGTCAATATATTACTACCCTGGATAATTCTAGATTAAGCATAGTAGGTTATGCTTCACACCTTACTGTCAAATCGCTTGTTCCAATGGAATTGAATATGAATACCCTGCGCACAACCCTGTATCTACCTTCCTTGGAAAATCTGAATTTGGATTCCTTCGCTCCATCTCCTACAGACGACGAATTAATAGAGTTCCTTGAATTTCATTCCTACACAGCAAAGACAAAAATCGTTAAAAGGACTGAATTCAAAAGGAAGGGCCTTCCCCTAATTTGGAACACTCTGTTCTCGATAATAAATTGCTGTCTAACAGGGATGGTCGGCATGACCAAGCTTCACATGCCATGCTTTCCATTGTATATGGAATCTACTTCAATCTGCCCCTTGATTACGCATAACTCATCCTCGAATACATGGTGGGCTTAATAAAAAAGAAGTGTGCTACTCAAAGGGGTGAGAAATCAAAGGTGAAGGCACATAAGAAAGCCAAAGAGGACCTCAATCATCCTAACTTAATCCTACAGAGGTTCTTTGGCTTGGTCTTTGGTGAAATGATAACAGAGAAGCTGCCCTCTGTAGAGCCAAATGCACGATTGTATCCAATGAAGGAGTTCCACCCCACAAAGCATGAGCTAGGGTACAGAAGCCCAAGGCCTCTATCAAAAGCCATGCTCAAATACCTTAGCAGAGGAGATAGGAAAGCATATAGACGTGGATACAGGAGGCTAGAGCCGGTCCCTGAAACCCCTCCACGCATAGGTATCCCCATAGGAGAGAGAGTGCAAAAAATGAGGGTTGAGGGACGAAGGGTGGAGCCAGCAGAGGCTAGGGAGATGAGTGAGCACAAACCAAAGGTAGTAAGTCCCCCACAAAAACAAAAGAAGACAAAGAAGACTCAGAAGGATGTCGAATTTTTTGAGAAAAAGAAAGGGAAGAAGAGACCCGCAGAAGAAGAGGGTCCAAGCAGTCCTCTACAAAAGCCAAAAAAGAAGAAATCGAAGAAGGCCCAACCCGCAGAGGTTGAGGTCACAGAGGCTGCAATCCAAGAAAGCCCAGCAGAGGCTGCTCCTAAGCGCAAAAGGTTGCGCCAGACTGTTCAAATAGAGTCCCCAATAGAGCA